TTAGACGGTTGCCAAATACTCACACAGCTTTCATGCTCTTAATAATTTAACAAAATTATTAGGAATAAACCAAATGCGTGCAATGGGTTTAGGCCACTTAATCCACTCCCCGACGCTGAGAATCTTCTGCTCGGGGTAGCGTGCGACTCCTGCGTCTGGCCAGGACAGCGGCTTTCAGCAGCCTGCCATAGTCCGGAGGCTAGTGTGGGTTTCTGCCTGCCACGCTGTGGCGTTCCGCAGGGTTTTCAGAGGAGATTTTTGGGCTCAGCTGAAGGATAACGTATAAATGAACGGTACTGGGCTTAGATTAAATCTGACTCTTTCCAGGTTTAAGCCTCAGGCTTAGAGGGATGTAAAGGGATCTGGCTGCTGAACAGCCTAAGGTTCTGGGAAAATTCAACCCAAAATTTCAGGTTTTGTATTTGCGAAGAAGAAATGCAATCATTTCTGTTCAACCTGCACAACACAACATTGCCCGTAGAAACGAACAATGCTAAGAAGGTGGGGTATTGTAATTGCTCATAGCCCAGGCTGTTATGCAAAACAAAACTCCCTAGCATTCAGAATTAAATTAACCAGCCCCTTTGTCATTTCATTGTGGGACACATCTGATGATCTTGGAAGAGATAGAAGAATAAAAAACATGCAAAATCATGGTTGTGACCTTTTCTTGTTTTATGAACAGTTATTAATAGATAACACATTTGTAAGCTATACAGAGAACTGTTATATTCAGCAAATCCTGGCTGTATCTTTAATTACTTCACATTATCCAAAAAAGGGCAAAAGCAAAATGAAAGGAGAGGAAAGAGCATGTGAATCGCTGTGATTCCTCCACCTCTGATTCAGAATCTGTTTTCTTGCACTGCAGTGTAGTCTTTTAATGGCCTAGGAAGGGTTTACCTCTAGCTTAAACCAGCAGCCAAAAGAAGTAGGGAGGTGGTAGGTGTGTTGCTATGGCCCAGAGTCGCATCTAGTAGGGTTTATATTTAACTGGTTTTCTGTATTTATTGAATGTATAGACAGGGTTCTCAAATGCATACTGCTGTGTGGCAGAGGAAGCAGGTCATGTTTAAGAGGCTTTAGTGTAATGTGTAAGTGCAATGACTTTACAAACAGACTTGAATTGCTGAGTTTTATACAAAAACGTGGTGGTGGTGATTTTGTTATTGAACATTACAGAGAATGGAGATTTTCAAAGAGCAGCAGAAATATTTACTACTTGTGTTTTTAACCATGATACATGGGGAAAAAATGGGAATTTAAATTAGAGTGCTCTGTCCCACTTCAAAAGGAACACTGGAAAAAACTGGAAAAGTTCAGGAACAACAGCAGAATTATCTAGCATCTGGAAACTCATTTTGTAGAAGAGTCCTAAGCTCTGTCTAATTACTCAGCCAAAGAGGGTTTAAAAGGGACCTTAAAGTATTTGCACCTGGACAAATTTTAATAGGTAGCTTTTTAATTTAGTGAAGGTAAAACAGCATCTAATGATGGGGGAAGTTCAGACTAGAAACAAAGAACATATTTTAAAAAGAAATTTATTCAATACTGGAAAAACTTGGCCTAGCGGTGGTGAATTCTCAGCTAGAAATGCTTGTAGGAGTAGAAGCAAACTTTGTACCTACTGCAGAGATAACTGAGGATTGGCCAGTTTCAGTGGCTTTTACTGAGGTGCAGGAGATCATAATAGATATCATATCAGATGATCCCTCCCTAGCCTCAATTCATGAATCTCGTGGCAATGATTACTTGATGCGCGTTGCAGCATGCTGGAAATGCCTCCACTGAACCCAAGGCAAAGAACTACTACACTCTTTGCTGGTGTGTGTTTGTGTAGATTTTTGGAGCATGAAGTGGAGATGAATTGCACCATCATTGGTCTCAGTATTTATAGATCTATATAAATACATAGCATAGGATAGAGGCATACTGCACAGTGCTATGCATGCGTTATGCACTCTGTATATAGATTCACAGACATTATATATAAAAGCTTTAGTACATCATTATATAATGTAAATATAGTTTGCACTGTATTTATGTAACATCAGTGTAGTTTATATTCTTGCCAGCTAAACACCTCCCCTTAAGGACAGGTCATTGTTTGCAGAGAACATTTTTGGCTGCTGATCTCACATAGCTGTGAGGTCTTTCTGGTCACTCATTAATGAGTTCCCAGAAGAACTTTGCTCATTCTTGCTGAAGCAAAGGCTGAAATCGTTTGTTTTCTACCCACTAGACTTTTACAATAAGCTAGTACTGATACCATTTGGGGGGAAGAAAAACATTTTGGTTTTCTTTTTTCCAATCCCAGCTGGTGTTATCTGAAGGGGTTGCAAAAGTCAGCACACGTGACATTACCAGCTGCTGTAGCCAATGCTCTGTAGACAGGAGCAGAGTAGTTAAGATGAAACAGTTTAATACCACGTTTCTCAGAATTTTTCTCTGACCGTTTCACTTCCTCGCGTGCAACGACAATGAGATTGGACGTGCAACATTCCCTGACGATGCCTCGCAGGGCCAGCCATCTTCAACCCCCCAACCCAGAGCACTCTCAGCAGAGCACCAAAGTGCCCTCCAAGTCAAGAGTTCTGCTGTAACTCAGCCTAGCCCTTCTGTGACTCTTTTTTGCCCTGGTCTTGTGATGCTTTAAAGGCTGGAAGATATTTTGGGGTCCTTGGTGACCTGCAGACCCAGCAGCCAGGCTAGGAAGCAACAGTCTGGCCCTGAGCAAGTGCCCAGGGGCCAGGATTCAATGTACTCCTAAAATGTCAGTATGGACATGGGCAGCCCTGGTCCTCTTAGCACTAGGCCCAAATAATCCCTGTGGGAGAAAAAACAACCCTCTGCCAGCCCGGCATGCTGCTCTCGGTGCTGCTGTTGCAGTGCTGCAAGTCTACGGGCTGATTTTCCCACTTTTTATTACACCATCTTCCTCTGAGGGAAGCTGGAAGGCTTATGTGACTGTCGGCAGAGTCCTGAAATCCTGGGCTGCTAAATGCTGGACGAGCTAAAGGTATTAATTTGTTCTGCAGTAATGTTAAAATAGCACAAAGTGTCATGGGTAGGTGAGGTCAGGTCTCGGGGTTATCGCGGTTGCTCAGACATGCAATGGGAGAAAGCCCTGCTCTGGAGAATTAGGACTACAGTGGAACAAAAGCAAACTAAAGGAAAAGGTCCTCACCCAGGACAGTTTTTGCTGTCACTGCTCTACCTGCAGGCAAATGCTAACGGCAAACCTGGCCAGGCTGAGAAGGCTCAGCAGTGCTGCTGGGGATGCAGACAGCAGCGCTCTCCGGGCTGCGTCCACCAGTTTTCACTCTGTTTGTATGCCGTAGGCAGCAAATTCTTGCTCACGCTTTCATATTTGCATCTGGGTCAACCACAGAGTGGTTGGCTGAGCTCTCCTTTCAGGGTTGGTGGCCCATACTGGCAATTTCTCCTTCTGATAGAAGGATATAAGGAAAAGGAAACAGAGGGTCAAAATGAGTTCTTATGAGAGACTTGCCAGCACCTTGCAAGTGAAGGATTTGGGATGCTCCATTGCGTATGTGAATCCATGCCGTATGAGTGCTTTGGTCTTCCAGATGCCAGGCACAGCAAGGCATGACCGAGAGATGGCAATCCAGGCCAAAAGAAACCTGTCCAAAACCACCGACCCTGTAGAAAGACTTCGCCTGCAGTGTTTAGCCAGGGGATCTGCAGGCATCAAAGGACTTGGCAGGTAAGTCTAAGAAGTCAAATCCATTATTCAGCCTAGTAGTTTTAGCTGCAAGAGGCTCACGGGCTAAGCAAGGGCCAAAACTTGATTTTCCTGGTTCCAACACAAGTGCCACAACCCACAGAGCCTGGGCTTGGGGCTCCTGTGTTTTGGGAGACAGGAGCGACCAGCCTGCCTGTTGAAGGACCGAGGACCATGAATGCTGCAGAGGAACATGCTTCCTTGAGACTGAGAACAACTCCTGCCAGGGAGAGAAGGGGAACATAAAACATATATCTCTCTCTGGCATTTTCTGTAATTAACTTAGGTATCTCCATACTGGGGATTTTGTGCTTCCTTTCCTTTGGGGTGTGATTCCCTTGTGCGTAATGGTCTATTAGCTGTCTAGTCTGTGGGAGGCATCCAGACTCCTGCAGTCACCCTGAGAGTGTGGGTCACCCCACCCCTAGGAAAGGGGAGCTGCATCACACCCTGAGACCCCTCCCAGGCCCCATAAACCACAGAAGGATCCTAGGTGACCAGCTGGAACTTCCCAACTTTCAGACATCTCAGTGTATAATACCTTAACAGGAAGATTCTTTCAGTTAAGGCAGCCTTCACCTCATTTAATTTCAGTTACGTAGTACTCAGGCATCCAGTCTAAGCAAGTTAACTCTGCTGTCAATAAGTGTAGGGTTTTTTTGTTGTGGGTTTTTTCCTCCTTTTTATTTTTCCCCCAGAAGACTGTACAAGGGGGAAATGTTACCTTAGTAAGGTGTCCCTGTACTCCAGCACAGTGCTAATCCTCTGCAGCATTCTCCAAGTTTTCCTATGCATTCTCCTCAAATTGCACATTTTCCACAGAGTATTTCGGATTATGGATGATGACAACAGCAGGACCCTTGATTTCAAAGAGTTTGTGAAAGGATTAAATGATTACGCTATGATGATAGACAAGGAAGAAGCACAGGAGATTTTCCGGATATTTGATAAAGATGGCAGTGGAACAATTGATTTTGATGAATTTCTCATTACACTGAGGGTAAGTGTGGGAATTTATGTTATTACTGCATTAAATGGAGAAAAAGCCTTGATTTGTCTTTAGCTGAACATGAAACACAGCACTTTTGTTCACCTTAGTAATTAGCAAAGTCTACAGCTCTATTTAAGAAGTCACTAACTCTTGAGGAGTTAAAATATTCTATTTCCATCTAAATATGATAAAGGAGAAAATCACCCTAAACAATGCTTCTGTGAATGAAAGAGCTCAAAAGCCAACATGTCTCTGCAATTTATTGGCAAGGCATAAGTCTCCTCGCAAAAAATTAGAATAGAATAGAATAGAATAGAATAGAATAGAATAGAATAGAATAGAATAGAATAGAATAGAATAGAATAGAATAGAATAGAATAGTTGTAAATAAATTGTTGTGATTTTTCTTTCATGAATTGCTGCCTTGATTTATCTCCCTAAGTTCCTATATTGCAGTCCAGGCACCTATGTGGTTCAGCCCATTAACATCACTTCTTTGTCTGTCATTTTATGGTGTATCTCCTTATAACACAAACTAATCCAATGATGGCTTCCTCTAATCAACCACAGTGTGACTAATTTTGGTTGTAGCCTCTTTGCTCAGGTGAAGTCTAAACAATTAAGAAAGAAAATAATTAATGCTTAGGGTAATTAGTAATTTCTTGTATGAAATGTTTAAAATGGGTAGAATTGAGAAGTGTTCTAGGTAGCATTTTCTCTCGTATTGTCCATTTACTATTGTATTGCTAGATGCTGAATAGTCTCTATCACACTGCTTTTTTGGTGAAATATTGCCCTTCCTAGCTCATGGACAGTGTAGACTGTCAGCAGTTCATTGTCCCAAATACACTGAAATATGTTTACTAGTAACAACAGCAGTCACTTGAATTTGGAACTGGGCAAGTAGTTGGAGAAATACAATGATTCTGTTAATAATTTCTTTACAGCCTCCCATGTCAAATGCAAGAAAAGAGATCATCATGCAGGCATTTAGGAAGTTAGATAAGACTGGAGATGGTGTCATAACAATTGAAGACTTACGGGGGGTATATAATGCAAAGCATCATCCCAAATACCAAAATGGAGACTGGACAGAAGATCAGGTTTTTAGGGCCTTTCTGGATAATTTTGATTCACCCTATGACAAAGATGGGAAGGTAAGTGAAACACCTTAATGTGAAGCCATGAAATCACCTTCTGACTCAGCATTTGACTTAAATTATTAAATGTGAGAATGATAGCAGTACCAAACATGCATCTGTGTCACATTTATGGGGGACATTGAAATGGATGCATAACCTCTGTGTAGGACTGTTGGCGCAGCTTGCTTATACATTCAGAGGCAAAGGGGCTCTGCAGGACATGCAAGCGTAGACATGAGATTGCATTTACAGGCTTGTCGCCTTAGTGCTCCACTTTCATAGGTTACTCTAAGTATATCTTCAGACTAACCCACATGATTGATGGTTTTCAAGATCCACATAAATTGGAGGATTTTTCACTTAGGAGAAGAAATACCGGGATCCAGTCCAAAAGCAGGTTCCCCAATATCTGAAATACTTCAGTTAGCTCTTCTCCAGTGTGTGTAATTACTGAGACACTTGACTTGGAAATCAGTCCATAACAGAGAGAGATTTATCCACAGGGAGTTGGAGGGAGGGTGGGGTTGGGGGGGGCTGCCGCCAGCTCTGTGCCCTGAGGAGCCACTAGCTGGAGCCCTTCCTGCCCTCCGCCTTGACTCTCCAGTGCAGGTGCAAATTCTGGGCACCTTCTGTGATGGAATTCTTATGCATCCGCTCCGTAACCATCTCTGAGCCAAGCATGCTTTGCTTCCTCTTGTTATGTGTCTGCAAACGGCTTTGGTCTGAACTTAACGTGTGTCTGACCAACTCAAAGCAATTATGGATCTCTGCTGTTCACATGGTGATGTTCTCAGTTTGAGCTGTTCATAATAACAAACTAGATACGGTTTCATCAGCGCTTTGTGGAATGTCTTTAACACTTTGCATTTCCAAGGTTGCACCTGGGTTTTCACGGCCGCACCACACTGGTGACTCCTACCTATCTAATGGCTGGGTACTCTATCCAAATCCTCCACTTGCTTTGCTTCCAACAGTCAGGCTGCAGGTCATAGGGAGGTGATGTTTTTACTTCCCTTGGGCATGACTCTGCACTTGGTCGAGCTGAATTTCATCCCTTTTTCTGTTGTGTCATCCTCAGAGGTACCAGCTGTGCCAGTCGTCCTCTTCCTTCTGCTAGATGCAGTGGTGGCATCTAGGAAACCCCAGGCAAAATGTTCCTGCTTTTTGTACTGATGTCATACATGAACACATTAAATGAGTTCCCAAAATGATCCTTGAGAAGTTCAGTGCCTTGTACCTCATAATCATTGCAGTGTTTGAGCTTATAGAAAAGTTACTGTGAGCACCCAGCTCTTGTTCAACAATCCTGACGTTAGCCCACCCAATTGCAGTTTCTTCTGAGAACTGACTGTGGCTTTCCTGTGCCTGAATCACAGGTCACTAATGACAGCAGTATGAGCTGAACGCCTAAAATGTTTTCAGCAGAAATGCCTCAGGGCTAAGCATCTGCTAGAAAGGTCCTCTTCACCATGATCTTACCAGGTGCCTCTGAAATAGGCAGGGTTACCAAAGCTTGTAGGACGGTCTACAGTGTTCACTTCTCCCCATTGTCTTGTTTTACTTACCTCTCAAATGCACAAGGCAGTAGGAGCAAATATTTTCCTATGTGATGTTTATTCAAAGAATGACCTATACAGTTCAAGAGCTGGGCATCACAAGAGACATGCCCTGTTTGTATCTGCTAATCTGAGTTCGTTTTAATGGTTATTTTAAAACCAATTTAACCTCAAAATACCCGTGAAAGATATTGAAAAGTTTTAGGTATTTGAAAGAATGTTTCCTTCTTTAAGTTAGTCCTGTTTAGAGCAATAATATTTTCTCTTTCATGAATGTATATAAAGCTCCTAGCTGTCTCTGTGTTGCACCAGAAACCCCATCACTTTTATTAATAATAATACAAAGAACGAGATGATAGAATACTTGAGAAAAAATGTATTAAAACTTTTGTTTTCTTGGGCAGCACTGACATTAACTTCAGTTCCTGGTAAGGTTAGTTTAACTCTGCGTTTTTCATTTTCATCCAAGTGTTCCTGGAGGACAAGAGTTCTTACTTCTAGCAAAAAAGTGAACTTACGGAAATTTTCAGTGTCTTCATTCTTCCTCTTGGATGCCTTTTCACTAGCAACAACAGTTGAAAATAAGCAAGTGTTAAGTTCCATTTAGGGTTCTTCTCAATGTGTGGTTTTGACTTATAGCATTAAAAATAAATAAAGGTTCATTTTCCTATTTTAAATCCCTTTGTCTCAGGTCACAACAGAAGAATTCATGAACTACTATGCAGGAGTCAGCGCTTCAATAGACACAGATGTCTATTTTATCATCATGATGAAGAACGCTTGGAAACTCTGATTGTATGCTTAAAGGAGCAAGACTTTACTTCCACTTTTTGTAGGTTCCCATGATTAAGTGCATGCACAACAACATGCTCATTTTCCACAATAACTGCTTCCAGTAACTGTGCCAATTACCGTCAACCTGCAGAAGTAATTCCCAGATGCTTTGGTAGGCTTGGCCTCAGGGGATTGCAGCATAATTGGAGAGTGGATCTGGCATCCAGCCACTCTGCAGATCTGTCCCTTTTCTCCCTCCATCCCCGACATGTCTTGTCTTTTCTGAGATGAGCTGCTCCTTTCTTCTCAGACATCCACAGTAGGTCCCTGTGGCTCCTGAATGTATCCCTTCCTCCAGTGCTAGGTACAGCTCTGTTTGACAGAGGATGCAAGAGGATGAAACAGACATTCTGGATGGGTGGTGGTCTGGGGCAGACTGTTACAAAGGTGAGGAAGCCTGTTCCAGGAGGGCCACGTAGCCCCCTCGCCTGTAGCACTGCAGCATCTCTTGGCTTCTTGAGTCTCACTGGTGGGATGGAGCAGCTGCTCACTCGCTGCTGAGAACATGTGACCTCTCAGTGCCAGGAGGCTGGAGGGAGAAACAAACCAAGAAGGGGAGACATGGACCAGAATAAATGCAAAACACTCTTTAGAGCCCTGTTTTCTCTCCAGCTTACAACTAAGCATACAGGCATCTTTCCTGTGCCTGCCTTCTTTCAAACCTCTGTGGGCCTGCTCATAGCTCCCCTCCCCGCCCCTGCCTTTGATTTATTTCTTTTTATACTGTGAGACCATCTCACTAATATTTTTCTTTAAAGGACATCCGTGTGTTACAGTATTTTCTTCTCACTGTTCCTGGAACATTCAGTGGTCTGGTAGCTGTTGTCTGTACACACCTACACCAGAAGTTGCTTACTACTTTTGTATTTATACTGGTTTATGACCAAGCTATGACCTCAGGGAGCTTTCCGGGAACTCAGGAACTTGTAACTTTCTTGTCTTGTCACCTTCTGTTTCTGATGCTGAAAAAATTATGGGAACCTGCCTTTCTGGTCACACCAGTGAGGCTGTCTCAGTTCTGAGATCTTCTGTCCTTTCCCCATGCAGACAGTGGGAAAATAGTGCCCAAAGAAAACTTTAAAAAAAAAAAAAAAAGAAAGGGGAGTATTTGCACTCTTTATTCCTGTTATTAGTATTATTATTCCTATTAGTGTGTGCTGTCTAATTTTTCCTGCCTTGATTCCTTTTGTCTTCTCTTCTCCTTTCTGCGCTCTCTCATCGTTGTGCTGCTCTCCCAAACTGAGACGCTGCTGCTGTAGCAAAGAATGAATGGCTTGTGTGTGTCAGCATTTGCTCCGTTTCAGGCTGGCAGCCAGCTAAAAGCAGCATAGGCTTATAGACTGGACTCTCAAAAGAGCTTGACTGATCAAGTCTCAGCTCTTAGTTAGCCTGGGCTGCTAACAATTCAAACACTGAAGTCCTGAGTGCTTGCTGCTCTGGTCCTGTGCAGACTCCATCTTTTTTTTTGTCCAGCCATGATCTCAGAACGAGCAATGGCTGCTTGCAATTCCTTAGTAAAGTCTGTGCAAACTCAAATATTTTCTTTGTTCTGTAACTCTCCAGAAACTTACATACTGGCTGACACTGGAAACTGGTGGAAAGAGTCTCTTTATGATTGCCATTGATTATAAGCGGATCCTTTGCTTACTGCGATGCTACTGAAGTGCCAACACACCTTATATGAAAAATAAACTTACTATCAAATAGAGGTCGTACATGTCCTGGCAGCTTGCGTATAATCCATTTCTTTCTCATTTATTAATTGGCTCCACAACAGGGTGTCATGTTATCTGTCTTCTATGTTTCAAATAAAAAGAAAGTAATGTGAATGGACTGTGGGAATCACAAAATGAAAAAATTATTTCCTTCTGACACACTATCTCCTGTCTTCAGATCCCACAGCAATCTGTTGTGCTGACATTTAATCAAGTGCACTGTAAGTTTTAATCTGAATAACTGCAACCAGTTTGTCTTTTCAGTGCTAACCTTTTCCTTTTTTACTTAATGCCAAATGCAATGTGCCTTTTCAGAAGGGAGGAGTGGTACTGAAAGCAGCTAAAGCTTTTTCAAAACCAACCGAAGCGTCAACACAGGCGCGCAGGAGCCTTAGCCGGAGCCTGTGATGGCTTGGGAATGCTCAGTGCTCCAGCGTGAGATTTCTGCACTGAGCTTGACTAACGGGGTTGGGTGACTAATCTCTGTCTGGGAGAGCAGCACATGACCTGAAAGGACATGAACCAGGAGAGCTCAAACCCTCTCGTCCTGGTGGGAGGTCTCAGCACCCACTGTGCAGGTCAGAGCCACGGCCAAGGCACCCCAGTGCCCTCAAAGTCGCTGCCTGGGGTCAGCCTGCCTGCAGACCTCATCACCCACTGGTTGTGTTTCTCTGCATCAGGAGGACATTTTTCACAATGCAGTCTTTTTTCACAATGTGGTCATTTCAAAATTTGTACAGAGCCCATTTCCAACGGCTGGTGTTACATTCCTCCACAGTCAGTGGCAAAGTTTCCTTTCACTTCTGTGGGAACAGAATGACTCTTGGGGAAATCTGAGTAAAAACTGCTAACTGCAGAAAAGGCACAGTGCTTTCAGGAAAAAGAAATGATCTGGGAGAGAATAACATGTGATTCTTCACTTGTAATCAGATGCCATAGAACACAAGTTGGAACCTGTGCTGTAAGAAATGTTATTTATGATTAATATGTGTGCAAGTTCATGGAACAGACACAGCCGTTGCATCGACGACTAGGCAGGAAAATCTCTGCTAGGAGACGTGCAGCCATAATGGCATGCTGGGCACACACGCCTGAGATTCGGTGGAAGCCTTTTGCAGACGTTAGAGGCAAGTTAAACGGGTTTGAACCGGACATGAAGGAATATCAGGGCAAACAGTGGGTGCCCGGAGCCATCCTTCAGCACTTCACTGTCCCTGCCTGCTGGGGCTGGCGATCGGGGAGAGCCAAAAATGAAGCTGCAATGCCCATGTTCAGCTGCAGGCTGCTGTGAGCTGCTTACAGACCCAGCAGATGCTGGAGATAGATGGTGGTACCGGCTGTCCCGGCAGCCTGTGGTTGCACAGCGCACACGGCAGATACTGGAGATGGATGGCAATGCACGCGATCATATCTGCTGCTGGCGTCAGACTGTCAGGTCTTGGTTGGTGCTTCGCGTTCTAAGCACTATTTCTTCTTTCTGATTGTGCAACAGACACTAAACAGGATGGCACAAACCATAGGAACATCTGAGTCTGCAGGGCTGCGGGCCAGCACCCGAGGTGAAGGTTTCACCCGTACCTTGAGCTCCAGCCTGCCCCGTGGCACAGCACCTTCTCGGGGCTGAGCCTTGCCCTCCCTACCCTGGCAGCACCAGGAACAGGCTCCAAAAATGCTGGTGGAACCCCATGGTCCCTCACAGAGGGAAAAGGCTCCCTTATACCACCCCCAAAGCTCTGCCCCCGCTCCCTACCTCTACCTGAGCCATCTGAGCATCTCTGTGACACCACCACCCCCTCACCACCCCCAAAAGAGCCCCGGGCATGGCAGGGAGAGGTAGGGGACAGCCTCCCCCTCTGGTGTGTTCCCTGGGGAAAGGTGGCACGCCTGTAGCATCCTTTATTGCATTGCGGTTTTAGCCCTGGTGTGATTTTTATGGCTTCGTGTTTTTGTCCTGGAGGGGAAATTTTTGGCTTGATATGGTTCAGAATTGTTGCTTGGCTCATGCTCTCTCCAGCAGCATAAATTTATGGTTCAAGCAACCACATTTTAACGCAAGCCCCATTCACAGGCGTATATGATTGAAATTAGACCACGAGGTATATTCAGGGATCGGATTAATTTTGCTGGTCTCCTGGCAGCTGCAGAAGGGGGCAGAGGGAAGCAGCTGAGGTTTTTGCAGATGAAACCACCTGCGCACATGGCCGTACAAAAGCCGACTTGCCTTTCTCAACAGCTTTTACGTGGTACTGCCTCAAACCTCCGCAGCCGCATGGGCAGAGCAGAGCTTTGCCACCCCAGAGCCGGGCTCCCGGCCTCCGCTGTCACCGGCTGGCAGAAGCAGCGAGCCCAGTGATTTTGGTTATTATTTAATTATTGGGAGCAGCAGCAGCACGCTGAGCTTTCCCTGGTAAAACAAGTAACGCCGAGAGCAGCCTGCTGCTGTCGGCAGCGGTTCACTTTCTGTGACTTCCACTATGATTATAGCCCATCCCGTGTCTCTAGAAATCCTTTCTTACAGCCAGCTCGGGAGGAAGGGGTGAGTGAAAAGCAGGTTTCCTGCACTTAATGCAGCGTCCTCAGGGGGCTGGGACCAACCTCGTTATCTGTAGCAGCTCCTGGCCATACTGGTTTGCCCCAGCTGAGTTTGAAGTCTCCGTGATTTCAAAGCAAGCACTGGTCTTGGCTCCAGCACCTCTACAGCCCTCACACCAGCAAAGGCTGCAGGAGGTGGGAGCACTGCAGGAGGCAAAAGCTTCACCTCGCTGGTCCACAGCCGTCCCCAGATGCGGCAGATCCGTCTCTGCTGAAACCTGGACCCAGGTTTCCGCCCAGCTTACAATGGCGCTGTTGATCCCAACGGGAGCTGTCGCTGAAGAATGGGGATGGGATCCGGACGTTGTTGGACACCTTGGCAAGTAGGAAAAATGAGAAAGAAAGGAATTGCAATGTTTTGTGAACGTTAACTCAAGCCTGGTTTTCTGTGGAAAAGCAGAGACTGTGGTAAAATGTGAGCAATGTTTATTTTGCAGAGATAAATCTGCTTTTTTTCATTGAAAATGTGCTATTTTTTCCAAAAGCTGCAATTTTTTTTTTTTTTTTACTTTCAACTGATATTTTAGCATTCAAAATGTACTGGTTGTTTTTTTTTTTTAAGCTTATGTACATCTTCTGGAAAAAAAAAAAAGCAGATTATTTTAAAGAAGCTATGACTTTGTGGCACGGATCTGTTCCTTTAGGGATTTCCACCAATACGTTTCTGCTTTGTTTCTCCTTTTT